GCCACTTCTCCCCTTTGCAGAACTAGACCCTCTTCATTCAGTCATTGAGATTGGCATGCAATTGTTCATTCCCCTTTTCACTAACGGCAGCATCTGCCGGTTGACTAAACCCAAGTGAAGGAAGTCTCACCTTCAAATCTTTACATTTAACGAACACACTAGCCAATAATTCGCATTTTTCACTTCATTAATACACATGAAGCCAAAATGAGGCGCAATGATTCACACCATGGCATCGCTGGATTATCCGCCAAGTTTTTCGATGTATTTGTACATACTTGTAACATAAATGCCTACGCCCCAAATTTTCTCTTCTCAGTTTTGTGACTTTCGTGAAAAACCTATCACAGAACAGTTCGAATACCCTCATGAGAGAAACTACAATTTCAACAGGCGGATTCTTGCCCATAGATGAAACGCCGGCAACGAATAAGCAAAAAAGTGCAACTCCTCACCTCTTGTCACAACCTGAAAGCAGCTGGAAGCAGCAGGACCAGCAGACGCCATCCGACAGTGAAAAAAGCAACATATCGGCTGAACGAACGCACTCTGCATCGGCATTCAAGGATTCAAATACGCGCGTTGCAGATGCCATGAGCCCAGCTAACCACAATAATCACTATCTGAACTTACGAGCCATTGTATGCCTCCAAATAAAAAAATGCACATTTAAGGGCTCTTAAATATTACTCGAACCCTCAGGCATATCAATAAAAACAGTAAGCAAAGCCCACCAACCTCGTGAACACCAAGGCCCAAACCTTCATACACGCCGCCAAAACCCCTGCATGTTACTTAAGGTGAGAAAAAACTAATTTTACAGGACAATGTTTTAGCAAAAACAAAAATAACTCCAATTGCACTTCCGTAACAAACTTTTAGTACAAACTACAGAAATAAACAATCCAAAGTGCATCCTGCAATATCTTAGGTACAACAGTTTTATTTCCAGCTTTTCGTAAGACTAATGTTGTAGTTTTAAATGTTTGCTGTCTTTTAACTGTTTTATATCATGGATATGCAGTTAGGTGTTTCCCATGACATGTTTTCATTATTTATGCACAAACATGTTGTGGATTTTGGTGTAGAAAATAGTGAGCGTCTTTAGTCTTCTCGGAGGTCATAATGACCCGAAGTAGTATGGCTGATCATACGTTGCTAACATTGATCGATGCTCATCTTACAATTTGAAAAGACAAAGTATCAACCTACTTTAATACAATATGTTTCGTAAAAAGCAGAGCATGAAATTTTAGTAGATGCGGTTTTTCTTTAATGCATTCGAGTATTCATGCACTGCGTCATTTTCGATTAGTTCTCACGCATCAGTTCCCGTGAAAATTTCATCTGGAAATCGTTGAGATTTGCAATCTGCTTTGGCTTCTTTACGAAGGCTCATCAGACTCCACAGGTTGTGCTTCTCCTCTGCATTTCCATTCAATCCTCTCCGTAGACTTCCATCCTTCCTCCACATTAATACGACCGCCCCTTGCGTGATGATATTTTAAGCCGACCCCGTGTCGTTCTCTTCCTTTCATCCTTTGAAACGAGTAGAATGATTCGATGGGGGGAGGGCCTTCATAATTAATGTCATTGTAAATGGGGCACAGTGTTCAATATTATATCTGTTTAGAGTACACACCCTTTGCAAATGTAGACGACGTCCAGTTTGCAACGACATTTGAATTTACTGATCGCTTCTCATCTGAAAGGTGCATTTAAGCAAACATGTATTGCGCAGTCTCTTCGTCTATTAGTGTACTGCTGCCAATGCTACCCTTATGTGCGGTCTGCACATGTCACTTTACTTAGTGTACAAACTATATATCTATATCATTTCATAATTCCTTACTGCTTGTTTACAGATGTGTCACGAAATGATGCTGTTGAATTTGACACTAGTCAAAATGTTCATCAGATTGTTTTATACATTTTATCGTGATTAACATCTGGTGAAATATGATCAGCGCTCCTCTGCTCCGGTCCAACATCGGTATTTAATAACATACGCTGGTACGGGTGACCTTCCCACATTGATTATGTCAAGGCATAGTCAGAGCACGAATCTGGCAATTAACACGGAAACTTGAAGAAAACAGGTCAGTGGTAATACTACATGGGGTAACAAATTAAAGATTCCACAAATGGCACGAAAGCTCTCAAAAGTAATTTGATCATCTGCGGTGGACATTTACTAGCAAAACACATCCGACGCTGCGTCAACTTTACTAAGGTGTTTGCGCTAAGGGCAACCGCCAACTTTACTGCTTGCGAACAATTATTCCCTAAGTATTGCCGAGTTTCAGATCCCAAGTTAATCTTCCAAGAGTTTAATGTACATGTTCAATTTCACTTGCTTGTCCGTTTTCCTGCCGAACGTGGAAGGACAGTGGCCACAAGAGCACTAGTGGAAGGAATGTTAGGCGGGCATCCATTTGATAATGTG